GGGGGTCAGGCTAGATGATCTGTTCAGGTCCCTCCTGACCCTAGCTACTATGAAACTATGTCCTGAACATTTACTACTGTTTAAACCTGTCTTTTAAAACCAAAAAAAAAAAGCTTATTTCCCATTTCAAATGACAGCGAAACATATACCATATGCCTAACTATACAGTTTTGCTTGAGCACAAAGAAATATTTATACTAGTATAATATAATGCAGATTATATTATTATAATGGAACAACTTCATAAAAATACATAGCGGAATATAAAATAAATTTACGATGCAAAAGCAAAACTTAATGGAAAAAAAGGTTTTCTGCACAAGTTTTAAAGTAAGTAATTAACTCAGGGATGTTATCTGCAGTAGAAATCATTATCTGTGCCTTTAAGATTTTATTTAAAACAAGCTACTGTTAGCACTTAGTTGTCCCTTTTAAATGTATTCGGGGGATCTAGTCCATAAATTACGTAAGGATGTACCATTAGAATTAGTGACTATGAGAATTAAAGGCCTTAAATTTTGCTTCACCTGATCCAGAATTTCCAGTAATACCAAGCACTTGTTTGGTATTCAGAGAAAAAAAAAAATCAACCTTATAAAAATCAACCACAGCACTGTAGAGCACTTAGAATTTTCTTTAGTGCTCTGGGTCCAACTGAAGTATTGGTTAATTTGTAAATATTAAAAAACAAAAAACAAAAAAACCACCCCGCAAAAAAAAAAACCACCCCAAAAACCTAAAAATAACCATTTCCCCCATTTTAGGTTAGCACTTAATGTTTAAGTGCTGAAACAGATTTATATTTTTGTAAATCAAATAGAGATTGATGAGAAAAGTAAGTAGATATTACATTACACTCATTCCCACCTACCTGGCTTCATAACTACAAGATGCAATTTCAGCCATTGACAAAACAGAGAGATCTGAGTCAGCTCCATTCATCTGTGCAGAATCTTGATGGCCCCAGGTTGAGTCCAGTTTATCAGGAACTCTATTTTCTGCTTGAAAAATAATAGTTTATATTGTTTCTATATTACTGTCTTAATGTTTTGAAAGAAGCATATGAACAAAATAAGCATAATAAATTATAATATACTTTTACCATAGTTTCTAAACTAATGAGTAGGCTCTTCACAATAATTTGCATCCTTGTGATTAAGTCAACCAAAAACAAGCAAGAAACACTCACCCATACATGAATACACCATTAAGGGGTAAGATCTAGGGAGGATCTAAGGAGTGAATTATTGCACTATTGAGAAATAATCATACTTTTTCCACAATATTACCAATCATCCTTCAGAATTCTGTCAAATCATACTCTCGGTGAGACAGATTTCAACTAGCTATCAAAGTGGTAAAAATGATTCAGAATCCTCAAGTGTTTTAGTTTTAAAGCTACAGCCATGTCCTATTAACAAAATTTTACTAGTATTTCCTTCCTTCAAAAACAATAGTACAGGAATATAGTTTAAACTTAAAACAGCCATTCTACAATGTAACTTATTTTTAACCTCATATTTACAACTCTAATTTCTAGTAATTACTTAATCTAGACACCTAAAAGAAGGGTTTAAGCATCAGATAAAATGCCAAGAACACTTTCAAGCTTAGGATAAGTTAAAAAATAAGCTTTACTAGAGACTAACATCCACAGCTAGCAACTTCACTAACACTTAATTGACAAAAGTTTCAATTACCAACCTCCAATGACTCCCCTATTACGGTTTGAAAGAACCTTTTTATAGTGTATCACCACAAATTTATGCTGGGCCAAAATGAAACAACTACAAATACTCTGATCTCAAACTACTAGCAAAAGGACCATACAGCTCTTTAGTTAATTGTTTAAAACTCCTTTGAACAAACTAATGTGAAGTGATTTAAAGCATCATTGAAGCCAATTGAGTACCAGATACTTGTATAGAAAAGGTTGATACAGCATACTGGCATCAAGTGAAAACATTCTCTCCTCTATTCTGTTTGGGTTCTAATACTCTGACATTGCTGTGATATCCTTACATCTCTATATATACCCATGGGTTCTTAAATATGTATCAGCCAGAAAAATTGGCTAGATTCAGCCACCCCAATCAAATACTGAACTATCAAGAAAAGTTAGTTTAAAGAAAGGGTAAAACATACAAGTTAGGTTTAGTTTTCAGTATTGCAGTCTATTTTATACAATACAATAATGTAATAAAAATAAGTAATACTTCCATCTTGCCACAACCCAGTAATGCTACATACTACCAACAACCTGAGAATTTGCATGTGAAAGAAAAGTATGGTGGTATGAGCATATAAAAGTAGTTATCAAGCCAAAGAATGTGTGTTGTAATGAGTAAGCAGGGGTAGAACCTGGCTTATGTGAACAGCTGTCCTTCTATGAAGCTTCTGTTAATTCATTTATCTTTTTATTTCCTAAATATTAATATTGAGCATGTAAATATTGAGCCTGATTTGCTCAATAAGTTACCTAAGATACCTTAAGCTGCAAATCAGAGCAAAAATCAAATAAAGGTCAGAATGACAAGAATTGTGCCTTCCTGTGCCCTGGCCTGATATGCTGTTTTCATCTTGTCTATTTTCACTGGACTTGCCGACCTTTTCCACAGCGCAGCAGAGCAGATCCCCCCATGAGCTGATGAAGTCACTTCATGTGAAATTCAGGGCAATGCAGAAGAATACATTGTCCTCAATGGAAGGCAAGGTAGAGAACCTCTCATCAAAAGCTGGGAAACTAGACAGGCACATGGTGAATGTGGAGCAACGGATGGAGAAATCAGAGGCCAGGACCCAAGTCTGTGAAAAAGAAATCGCTGAGAATAAATCTGTGACTAATGATGGTTAAAAAACTGCTGCTCTAAGAATGAAAAATGGGAAATATTGGGGTTGAGGAACAAAAAAAGAATAAAAATCATCCACATCTTGGACATCGTGGTAGGGAAGGAGACCCCAACCTAGGAATTTTGTGCATATACTAATCCATTAACTTGTGAATATGAATGTTAAAGAAGATACCTATGCAGAGAGGTAATTTCTACCACTCAGGAAGCGTATCTCCAATTTGGAGATACAGGTTGAGAATGATAGCAAAATTTAAAAATAAGTTATACAGTTTTGGATGAATCCAAAAAAGAAAAAGGAAGCATTACATAAAAGATCCAAGATTCTATTGTTTCTAGGTACTGTATTTGTTTAGCAATGTAGACTAAAACGCAGGAACCAGTATCACTGAAGAAGCAATATGCAAAAAAGAAAGTAGTTGAAGCAGTAGAATTCAGTATCTGGCAAAACTAGGCGATTCACAGGTATTTTTTTCTTTAAATTTGGAACATTATTTCCAATGAGAGTAAGTCCCGGAAAAGTCAAGATCAGAAAACAGCTCAGAAAGCATGAAGCAACAATTCAAACAAATGAAGTGTTCAATGCTGGAGCAGGAGTATTAAAAAATGTGGGGAGGTTAAAAGAACAGTGGGATCAAAACTTTCTCATTTACACAAAAATGTGTGTAATGCAGTCAGGGATATGCAACAGCACACTATTTGGCTTTTTGTGCTTGTAAAACAGATATTTGTTTCATGTTGTT